GAGTATTAATTACAAAGCCATCAAATTTGAGGTTTGTGACAAGATTTTTAATGACATTTTAGGGAAATTCTCAAAAACAGTATAGTAGTTCACTAGTTTATATAATGATGTCAAATCACCTAACCTCTCTAGACCTGTTTCCTTAGACATTTAAAAAGGAGACTACCTGGGGCTGTGGCTCAGTGGTACAAAATTAGTCTTATATACATAAGGCCCCAGGTTATGATGATAAATATATACAATCCTGTGCTGGGGACTTAGCTCAGTGGTTCCACATCTTGCCTCTCAAGCACAAGGTCCCAAGTTCATTCCCTGGTACCAAAAAAAAAAAGAAAACTACAATCCTATATACTCAACAAATATTGACTTACTAATATCAAAGCATAAGGCACACTAAGAAGGTCTAAAATTTATTTACAATACTGCCACGACCACTCCAGTCGAGTCTGCGTGACAATGCCGGTCACCTGGCAGAAACCAGACCCGAGGTATCGTCCCCACGGGGTTAAGCCTCCTGGAAGTCCTTGGCACACACGGCATGCGAAGTCAGCCGTGAAGAGAATAGCTGGCCTCTCTGCCTGCAGTTTGGGGACATTGGGTTCATTTATAATTCTGTTCTATTTTGTCTTCATTACTATTTGTTCATTATCTGTAGAATTGTATTCTGGGCCCAGGAAAGGTTAGGAACAATTAGATGTTCCTAGAGATGGGGAGGTATTGAGGCACAAGAGGACGGGCGGCCAAAGTGCTGACCCTGAGCCCCGGACTGTGAAGTCCTGAAGGTGATCCTGAAGGTGACATGCTGAAGCCAGTCCTTTGTTTTACAAACTTCCCCTTCTGACTGCGTATAGGTGTGGTCTTACCTTGACTTAATGGTCTTAGCTTTTGTGATGGTATATAGGTGTGGTCTTACCTTGACCTTGTGGTCTTAGCTTTTACAGTACTATTGTCTATCTTTCTCATGCCTGCCTGTGACTGGAATCACTCTTGAGGTGTGCCCTTGAAACTAGTATATATACACCTAGAGTTAGAAATAAAATTGCAGCAGCTACTACCTTCAGTACTCAGTGCTGTGTGGTTTCTGACTGTCACCGCCGAACCTGCTCCCACCTTTCTGAAGATCCCTGTTCTCCACATGAAATCCAGTCTTTGCTCCCCTACGGTCGGTAGCACAATACTCCAATTTATAAATATATATACCATAGGGCTGAGATTATATCATCAATAGGATTGAGTGTTTTTGTATAATCAATAATTAGCATGTTACTTCCATGACAAGAGGATTACATGCACTAAGTAGGTAGTAACAATTAACAAAGCAAAGTGTCTCATAACATTAAACTGAAAACTAAAAAGCTGGGCATGGTAGCACATGCCTATGGTACAGCACTTGGGAGGCTAAGGCAGGAAGATTGCAAATTGGAGCCCAACCTGGGCAAACTAGCAAGATTCTGTCTCAAAAAAATTAAGAAGAGCTGAGGAGGGTCAGGGATTTAGCTCAGTAACACCACACCTAGCTCAGAAGTGCAAGGTGCAAGGTCCTGAGTTTGTTCCCAAATACCAAATAAATAAATAAAGCTGAGAAGTAGCTCAGTGCAAAGTCCTGGGTTCAATCTCCATTTCCCACTCCACACACACATACAAAAAGAAAATCAAATCTATCTTTATCTCCTTAAAGGTAACTAGAATTAGCATGTAGCTTCTTTAATTCCGTGAATACACTTGGGGAGGGGAGTGTGCACGTGTGTGTGCTATGGATGGAATCTAAGTTCTCATGCATGCTAAGAATGTGCTCTACTACTAAACACAGTAGAATTTAAACTCATTTTTTTTTTAACAGCCATTCCACCTTAGATATCTGGTATCTGGGACAATGATCCCTCATTCAAATCTTTGTCTTATACCCTCATTATTCAGATCTTTTAAGTAGAAAAAAATGAGCTGATGTATTCATACATTTAAAAATTATTTTAAAACTATATTTTATCATCAAAATTACAAAATGTCGGTAAAAATGAAAACTCACAGTAGACCTCCTATAATATCATGTAACTGCAGAACTCTTTAAAAACAAAATCTAATTCCTACAACCAGAAGTTGAAGGCATATTTAAGATATCCTTAATATTATGAGGCCTAGATTTCAAAAAGCTATCAATTCTCGAGTGGATTCTACTTTGGAACTGTTTCTTGACTATTTCTTGTTTGCATCTCTTTCAATGTGAAACGGAACCTCTGAAACTCAGGCGTGGCTTCCACAAAGTTAAGAAGGTAGTCCAAACTCTTACAGCAGATAATTTCAATTCAGCAGTCTGCTTCTCAGCTCTTCCCCGCTCTTTGGACAACTTCCTTTGTAATCTCACCTATTATCTTGAGGGGACAACCCTCTTCTTCATCATTTGTTTAACCATACCCTATCATCATGCAGATTATTTTCTAATTCTTGAAAATTTTCAAGAATTTCTCTATAATTTCCATCTTCTAAGCCTTGAAGATCATAGCCAGGTTCCTTTTTGAAAAGATATTCCCATGCATTTGCTATTGCTATGTTTTACCTCATTCCAACTTTTTGCCCAGTTAAAAGTTGCACTTTTTATATTGTAGATTTTAATCTTGGAAACTCCTCTTTCTCCTTTATCTTGTTCATCATCACTTTCTTCAAAAGTTACAAGACTTTGTTCAAGTTGTTTCCACCTATAAAGTTGTTTGCAGCTCAAAATCACACCTTGATTCATTGGCTGAATCAAAGTTGAAGTGTTATGAGGAAAGAACATGCATTTTATTGGACCATCCTCACTACTTAGTGATTCAGCAGAAGGGTGAACTGGGGAATTGTCCAGAAGTAATAATGCCCTGACATCCTCTTCATGGAATCTTAGAATATTAAGTTGAAAATGCCGATGCCGGACCTCAGGAATAAAGTTTTCAAAGAACCATTCTGAAAACAATTCTCTGTTGAACCAAAAGTCTTTACTAGGTTTATTTATTTTTTTATTTTTGATATTTTACTAGGTTTATCTATCACAGGTAACATACTTGTATCTCTTTCACATTTTTGGGAAGTTTTGATTTGCCAATAATTACTGATTTTAATTTATGAGTGCCATCTGCATTTGCACATAAACGGACACACAACTGTTGTTTATTTTCCTCCCTGGAAGGCAGATATCTTTTCCATATCCCTGAGTGTTTATAAGCACTGACTTCCAAAAGAGGTCAGTCTCATCTCCACTATATAGCTGAGCTAAATGCAGTTTCTCCTCTTTGATTATCATAGACAGTTTTTGTCTAAATAGTTCAACATTTTTTGAAGCTAAACATAGGACTTTTTCTACACATACTTTTTGGTTCTCAATTGCATGCCTATTTCAAAATCTAAAAAGCCAGCCAGTGCTAGCTTTGAAGTCTGTTCACCCAAAAGATTGTGCAAATCTCTCTGTAGCAGCCTGAAGCTGCACACCTCTAACAGAGATACCAGCTGACCATTTCTGTTGGTACCACATGTAGACTGCATCATTCACATCTCCGTATTTGGCTCCTGTTGTCCTCTTTCTCTTCTCAGCCCCTATTAATGGCATGTCCTGCTTCAGTACAAAGTCCAAAATCACCTTCTTATTCTTTTTAATGTCATAAAATATTGATTTACTGATTCCAAATTCATCCATTACACTTTTTAAGAGATCATCCAGCTTCAATTTATCCCCTAAACCTTCATTTTATCCCCCAAATTCAGTGTTGTATATTTCCCTCTTATTCATACTGAACTTGATTTCAGACAACCAACAGGAAAAACAAGAAAGAGAAAAGTCTTACTGAATTGGAAAGAAATTAATAAAAAGCTACCTCAAAGCCCCAGAAGGCACAGGAATTTTTAGTGGAGGGCAATGGACTGAAAAGGATGAGAGTTCATGATTGAAGTGCTAGGCTGCATACAGGTAAAGGGCCTATGTTCTCAGCTGCTGCTGCCACCTACCTGGCTATTCATATTGCAAGATATGGGAAATCGGTTTTCAGAACCTCACTGCTTTTTTTCAAATATAGACGCTCCAGTGCCCACAAGAACAGACCCATGTGGAATAAAAAAAAAAAAAAAAAAAAAAAAAAAAAAAGTGATGCCAGAGAAAAGGGAATATGGAAAAACTCAAAAGCTGTAACAGAGTAACACTGTATAGTAGAAATTCAGTGTGGCTTCTGCCCTTCCAAATAACCTGCTTAATTCACTGCCAGAACAAAACAGTGCTCCTGTTGTTCAATGAAGCATTCACTAGGGGACAATTCATCTATTCGGATAGACTCTAGAATAGCTGGAAAACTGGAATTTGCAAACAGTTGTATAGAATCTTTAGGTGAAAGAGAGGATTAGTAGGTTCTGTTGCACATAGGAATGAAGTCCAACTTTTATTGCATTCAGTATGGCATTCTCAAAGACTGCACTTTAAACCTGAGTGTCTCTTTTGTTGCCAGAATAATCTGTAAATATGTAAATAACTAGCACTTTTCCACTCTCATATCTCCTCCCTTTTGTATATCTGATGAATTCTCAAGCATTATTTTTACTGATATTCTGTATTGGAGATGTTATCAAGTTTCAGAATCATGGCAGTTCCTTAGAGATAAGCCTCAAAGTTTTACAAATATTTTTAACACAGTTAAAAAAGATCTATCCTTTCCTTTGTTTTCCTATATTTACAGCAATATGCTAAATAACATACTTTTCATACTTGAGACTTTATCTTCAGTATAGATTTAACTTAATTTCAACCAAGACCAAACTGCCTGAAAAAATTCAAAACTTCACTTATTCTACTCATGTTTCTGTTCAATTGTTTCCCATTAAGCCTTTTGCTGGCAAATTCTTCTGTAGTTTTGTACCCACAAATATTTTCTTTCAGGTCCTACTGGTGCTGCCCAAAGCCACTCCAGATCTTTGGAAATGTACTATTCTATATTAATTTCATGGTTTTCATTTCAGATACACAATTTCATGAGAAGAAACAACTGGCACTTTTATACGTTCCAGATGCTATGAAGAAAGAAAAATTATGTCAGAGGAAAGAGGAAAATGATTGGTATCTCAGTTATTCTCCTGTAGGTTAGAGCCTGACTGTGCCATTCATTCCCCAACTACAGTATGTAGAATTCCCTCAAGTCTCATATAGAAATGCAGTCAAATCACTGAGTTATGGAGCACTAAAGGATCACAAAAGAATGTAATTCAGTATGTAAGCTGTGAAGCCAATGACAGGCTAAGAAACTTTCTAAAAGAGGCAGGTATATCTAAGTCAATTACTAAGTAGTAACTGTTATAAATGGAAAAAGAAAAAAACAGCATTTATTGCCAGTAGCAGCACCACAAATTCTAGTCAGTCACCCAGCAAAAGCACTTAGTCTTCTATGGTAGTTGTGTGGGTGTCTCAAAATTAATTCAGTATATTTGCTTTTGTTGTTTAATAGCTGTATGTTCATCATTTCTAAAATAGTGCCCAAGCACGGAGAGGTGAAATCTAGAAGAAAAACTTGGGCAATTTAGTGGGCTCCACAGGAAGGTTAAGATCTGCGGCACCAAACTGCACACAGTAAAAATCATCAGTGGCTCTCATACTACTCATCATTGTGCTTTGCTTCCTCTTCTTTCCTCTCCCTTTGACCATCTTCCTCCCTGTGTTATATTCAAGCCTGCTATTGACATCTCAGGGCACTCCTTGGCACTGCTGACAGAACTTCATTTATTCAATTTAATAAATTCTAAGTATATATAAGTTCAACACATGGGCTGGGGATTTAGCTCAGTGGCACCGTGCCTGCCTTGCAAGTGCAAAGTCCTGAGTTCAATCCCCAGTACCACAAAAAATTAATAAATAAAATAAAATATATTTTAAAAAATATATATATAAGATCAGCACAGAGCAGGAGATGGACATATCAAGATAGGGGCATTATTGTTCTGACAGACTGGAAACAGTAGTCAAAAATATTAAGTACCAACCTGAGATTCCAAGGAAATGAACCATCTTTGACACAGATTCAAATTCTCATTGTCTATTTACTCTCATTTAAAAAGGATCAAGATCTGTGCCTAAGAGAAATATAATACTTTCTGTCCTAAAGCAAAAATAATATATAATGGCTTATCATTTTTACCATAAACTGACCTAAGAACTGACCTAGAAAGAAGTTCCATTCAGAATTCTCAAATGGTGCTCCCAGTTACTTCCTTAAACGCAGTCTTCCCATAATGACCAGGCAAGCTGATTTTTTTAGCCTGTTAAACTTCATTGTAGCCCAAATGAGTAAAAGTATACTACTGATCTTACAATATACTCTTTCCAGCTTTCAGATCTATGCTCTTACTCTTCCTTCTGCCTGGCATGTGTCTCCACACTCTGCTGTGGGTAAAATCTGTCAAGACCCTGTATAATTTCTTCAACCTAAATCAATTTTTATTTTCTTTGAGTTCTCATAGGGTTCGGTTTATCTCCTACTTTTTACTACCCCACGTTATCAAACTGCTTCAGTCTTTTAGATTGAGGACAAAGGCACAAAGTACGCTTAACGAGTAATCCCCGGACTGGGATGGGCTGACATTAAGAAAATTTGGGAGGTCACCAACAACTCAAAACGTTGAGTCATATATATATATATATATAATTCAGTACATATTTATGGAATGCCTTCCTCACTCAGGTGACAATCTTCAGTAACCATAAAAGGAGCCCTACATTCCATTCCAGTTTGGCAGATGCCACTGCTAACTTGTGTGACCCTGGTCCAGTCATTTCCCAGGGGCTGATTTCTGGGTCAAGGATAAATACAAATGGAACTTATTTCGCAAGTTAAAACCTACCTCACAGGAAAATTGAGGAAAGCGCACAAAAACCTGAGGTCATCCTTTCTGATCTAGCAGTGCCCTGCCAGGCACAGAACGGCCTCTTCCTTGAGAAGTCTGCGATGAGCCTCGCTACAACAGCTGGAGCACTGCGAGGACAGGCGCACAGCGGAGAGATTACAGGGGGCGACTGCCTGACCTCTCCAGGGTCCGAGCTAACAGCCGACCGATGGTGCAGACACGAAGGAGACCTGAGACGGCAACACCAAGCGCCGCGCCAGGTACAGGGCCCTTCTATACACTGGCGGGCCCGCAGACTCGGTAGCATTAACTCCTTCCTTTCCTTGACCTGCGGGCCGTTCCCAGCAGGAAGCAAGAGCAAGGCTGTGACGCAGTTGCATTGGCTCTGAGCCAGAGCGCGGACCGGGGCGGGGACTCATCACTTCCGCTTCCGGTTACTCGTGCTGGCCTCGGGAGTAGCCGCGTTTGGATGTCTGGCGGAGGCAGGTTGTGAACGGGTGGTTCCAGACCCTGTGCCACCCAACCCCTGGGCTCCATTCCCTGGCCCGGCTCAGACTAGCTCGGGCACAGAGCTGCGGTTGTGAGAGCGGCGTCTGCTCGGGCAGCGGCTCGCAATTGAGCCGGAGAAAACAGGAAGCGGCGTTTGTGGGAGTCGAGCTGTCTGAGGTAACCAAGAGCTGCTTCCCTTAGGCGGCCGCTGCGAGGCGGGCGGGCCACGGGAGGCAGTCCTGTTCCGTAGGCAGCGGCGTTTCTCTCCTGAGTCTGAAGCTTGACAGGCCTGAGCGAGGCCTTCGTCTAGCTCCAGAAACCATTCTCTGTACCATTAGCTCAAGTTCAGCCTGTGGCCACGACGGACGCTCTCTCAGACCCTGTTCTCCTGCTCCATGTCCACCGTGAGGCTGGCAGCACTGTCTACCGCTGCATCCAGAGAAACTTCCCGCCTTCACTGACTTTTTCGTCTCTGACCAGTGTTGCTACTAGAGGAGGCATTAGTGCAGCCTCTGTGGTAGGATTGAAACCCAGTGGTAGAACGCTCGCCGGGCGTGTGAGGCCTGGGCCCAGCACTACATACACAAAGGAAATACAAAATCGATGCAAAACCAGGAAGAGTTCCTGTGCCTCCAGAGCAGAAAGGGCAACAAGGAGCCTACCGGTTTTTAAAATATCCGTGACATCTTGGGCAGATTTTAGTTCACTGCTGTTCCGTGACGCTCACGAAGCTCTACTAAAACTCATTTACAGGTCTAAAAGACCCTTGAAATGTAAAGTAGACAGAAGGATCACTTTTAACCATCACCAACTCAGCGTTTGGGAGTGCAGCCCAGTGATAGAGTATTTGCCTAGGGAGTTCAAGGCCCTATGATCCCCAACGCGTGTGAGTCTAGGGTGTGGGGGAATGGAACAAAACCCAAAGCACCAACTTCCCATTCTTTCATTTAAAAAAATAAAACAGCATATATAAATAAAAGCAAGCTGTGAATTTTTTTTCTAGATCAGGTAAACAAATTAAAAAATATGTATAAACCTGCATAGAATGATGAGCCCTACTTGGTTAGTAGGGAGATGGATTTTGGGAAAAACAGGCTACTTTCTCCCAAATTATTTACCTTCTACCTTTGTTTCACCATCCTGCCATTGTGCGTAGAGGAGAAAGAAGAGTGTCAAATGTTCCATAAGGAGAAGGTTCTACATTCACAAGTAAATAAAGGCTTGTAGAAGTTGTACCCCTTCTTAAAGACAAGTGACTTCTTAAAATTCAAGAGAAACTCACAATGTTCTACTAGTCTCATTTCCTTGTATTCTTCCCTTATGAGAAAAATAGGATAGGAAGCACACAAATTAAGTCCAGATACTCTCAAAACTCCTTTCAGCTATACTAGGTACCAGTTTCCCAACTACCAACCTTTCCTAAGTTGCAAAAAAAAAAAAAAAAGTCATCAGTTGACTTCTGTTTTTTCTGAGCTGTGTTGAACTTTGAGTACTATAAACAGAAAAAGCCCTGGCAGTTGATTTTAAAAGCAAAGCAAGACAAGACCTTTTCTGTTCAGTTTTCTCCCTTAATGAATAATAGTATTATGTTCATGTAAATTTCTTTCTGACATGAACTTTTTTCCTACCTTACCCTTAGGAAGAAGATACTTTTATTTTGTACCAGACCAGTTGGAGCCTCAGTTGTCAAAGGTGGTACCAGGAGCAAAACTGTTGGTAGAGCAGAATGATGATGGTCAATCTGAAGGTGGCTGAGCATTTGGACCCTCAGATCAGGGCTCTATGGGAGACTAAGGAATCTGTGACAGAAGGCTCTAGTCAAAGTACAAAATCTCCACATACAGACAGTCTTTATCCCAAGAGTTCTTGCTGGTACTTCCGTAATTTCCATTATCACAAAGCAGCTGGACCCCGTGAGGCTGTCAGGCAACTTCAGGAATTATGCCATCTATGGCTGAGACCTGAGATCCACTCAAAAGAGCAGATTTTGGAACTTCTGGTACTAGAACAATTCCTGACCATCCTGCCAAGGGAGACACAGACCCAGATGCAGAAGCACCATCCACAAAGCATCGAGGAAGCTGTGACATTCGTAGAACACTTGCAGAGAGAATCTGGTCAAGTGAGAAATGGGGTGAGAAGAAAGATGCCTGTACGGTGAAATAGCATGATGGTGGATATAATAGGGGTGGGGGTGATTATTTGAGAAATGATGAATTAGGTCAGTTCTGTTGTTCCTTTGAGATAATTAAGGTGGGATTTGAAACCTTAAGCACACAAGAAGTCAGTGTACCAGATATCATGGCAGAGACTTCCCTTGCTTCAGTTGAATTTTGCTTCTTTTGGAGCCATAATGAAATGATATCTTGACTAAGGAGACAGAACCTGAATTCTTAGAAATAACAGTGGACCCTTCACTTACGCATATGATCAGTTCCCAAGGGTTAGTTGTAACAAGTTGGCTGTAAGTACGGCTGGGATCTGGATGTTTCCCTGGGTACATACTATAGATAACAAGAGGCAGATGAATCTTCCATTAACCTAATTAACCCAAGTTATTTGTATGTCAGATCTGTTGTAACTTGAGGGTCCACTGTAAAAGGAATTGATGAGGGAGTAAGAATCCAAAATAGGGATTACACTTAGACATCAAAGAAGAGAAATTAACTAGGGAAAGACTGAGAGACAAGGAAAAATGGAAACAAAGATTTGAAAAGAAGGAAAAATCCTAACAGGACCTGTGAGACGACACTGAAAGATAGTGTCCTCGCTGCAGTAGATGAGCCTTCTCTGCTATCTTGGTGGTTGGTCCTTGGCTTTGCTGATGAGTGGGGAACTAGGGTATGCTCTTGGGCAAGTGTCAGACACACGCTGGGTTCAGTCCTACTGTGAAGAATACAGGGCAGGACATGATTGATGTCAAAATCATTTGGAGGTAAGTTGGAACCACTCTTTATTTTTTTCTGTCACCATTCTCTGTGAAAACCTTTCCTGACCATAGAAAAATCTGGGTGACAAAATTTTTATTACATATCTTAGTTGTTTTGTTTTTTTTTTAACAGAAAATGACAAAATAGAAAACCATTAAGGAAAGGATTTAAATTGAGAATAAGCCACACAAAGCAATGTAATATAGTAGGTGACTTGCCCAACCCTGCTAGTGGCATGGGTTGAACTCTATGAAGATAGATGGGACTGGTGGTATTGGGAGTATAGCAGGGTTTTTTTGTTTTGTTTTGTTTTGTTTTTTTAATGTGGATTTTCCCAGATTTGTCGATAGTTCTTTGTACGTATCAATGACTCAATATCTTTTTTTTTTTTTTTTTTTTTTTTTTTTTAATGGTAACAGGGATCGAACTTGAGTCCTTGTGCTTGCAAGGCAGGTGGCAGATCCACTGAGCTAAATCCCTGGCCCAATATCTTTCTTTTTTAATGGTAGCAAGGTTTTATTAAAGGTAGGAAAAGAAACGTGCTCTGCAGAGCTAGTCTGGGCCAGCAGAAAGTAGGAAAAAAGTAACATCTGAGAGCAGACCATAATGAAAAAGAGAACCCTGAGGCCAACATCCCTTTACCTTTTATCTTTTTTTTGGTGTGTTGGGGTGTACATTTGATCTTCCTCCTGGCTACACCCGTCAGAAAAAGTAAGTTCTTTGGTAACAAGGATGGGGATTGTTTCTAGGTTACAGTCCATGAGCTGGGAAAGGAAGCATTGCTCTTGGAAGAAACAGCAGAGGCCTCAGATTGCAAGGTTAACCCAGCGGAGTCTCAAACAGAGGACATGTTCCAGGATAAAGAATTTTGGAATACATACCAGGGGCAACAAGAACAGATGAACAAGAATGCTCATAAGGAAACTGAGCCTGTATATAAAATGGGTAAGGAGGTTCATGGTAATTCCTTCTGGGAACTGCAGCTGTGATTTGTTTAGCCAAAGTGTCATAGGCATTTTCTTTGTACCCAGATCTGGATTTGTAAATGCAACCCTGATAGCAGTTATGATGTCTCCTCAAGCAGTAATAGATTGCACCAACTATAAGTGAAGGTGGGGGTTAGCCTATCGTGTAGAAACATCCAGACCACAGAACCTTGTTAATAGTACCATGAACTCTGTTCCTTAGACAAAATGGAGAGAAGTAAAAGAAAGCAGGAAGTGTTGGGGCAACTTCAAGCTCAGGACCTTGCACTCATCCCCCTAAAGAAGGATTGGGGTCAGGAATGGTCTGTTAGAAAAAACTGCTGTTAGTGGCAGAAAAAATAAAAATAAAAAAACAATAATTTCAATTTTTGCCTGACTCAAACAGTTTATGTAATCAGAGGAAAATAAAAGGGTTTTACTTCTCATGACAACTAAGGAAACAGTCAACTGGGGAACTGGTTCTAAGGGCTTGTAGGTACTTGATTCTTTTTTATGAAAAAGTCACTTCTGACATAACACACAACACACTTGTAAAGGTGTCCCGTCTCTACTGACTGAATCAGGATCTGCATTTTAGAAATGAGCTCAGGATTTTGCTAGAAATGATCAATTTCTTCTGGCTCTTTTCCACCCACAGGTGGGCCTGCTCAACAGATTCTGTCCTTTCCTGAGACAACTAACAAAGACTGGACAGTGACACCCAAGCTCATCTTGCCTGAGTCCCAGGTAAGCTGTACTTTCCAGCTGTTTAGAGCTGTCTTTTTCCCACTGCCCATGATTCATATTACCTAAAGGGAGCTCAGAGACATATGAAAATATGCAAACAAGTTCTTTTACTGCCTGTCCTGTCCTATAGTTCTTAGCAAGTGATTAAGCTGCCTTTCTAGTGGCAAGGACTGAACTAAGTCCATTCTCTTCTTCAGAGTTTGTTCACATTTGAAGAAGTGGCCATGTATTTCTCCCAGGAAGAATGGGAGTTACTGGATACCACACAGAAGGCTCTCTACAATGATGTAATGCAGGAAAACTATGAGAATGTCATCTCTGTAGGTAAAGATTCTCCCTTTTTTTTTTTTGTTTTTGGAGTTTTTTGTATTGATTTTGAAAGTCTTGATATGTAGTTCAGGCTTGAACTTACAGTGATCCATTTGTATTGGCCTCCTGAGTGATGGGATTATAGATTGTGCACTGCCATGCCTAGCTTCCCTCCCTTGTGTAGAAGTTGAGTCATATGTTACATTCTTGGCTTGCTTGAAATCCTATAAGCCTCATGCTTTCTGCAGCTGATTGGCTCTTAGCTCACTGATGTAAGGAAGGGAAAAATGGATATCCAGATCACCTGGGGAGTTGTTTTTCCAAATATCAATACTTATTTCTTAGCCTACATGGAATTCATCATCCATTCCCTCCTCTCCCAAATCTGCTCTTCTGTGTCTTCCTCAGTAAAGGTACCACCATTACCTAGTTGCTCAGGGCAGAAAATTTATAGGCATCCTTTTAATTTTACCTTCATATCGCATTAGTAATCCATCAGCAACTTTTTTAGCTCCACTTTGCCATTATATGTTGAATCTAGTTATGATTCAGCTTTGTGAACTGTTAACATTGTAGTCTAAGCTAGCATCATCTTGAACCATATAGGTTTCTGACTCCCTGCCTCTACTCTTGTCCTCTCAGTCTTACCATTGAGCAACCAGAACTTTGAAAGAAAACCTCATCAGTTTATAGTATTTCCTTGCTTCAGAATCACTTCCCTGCAGTGATTTCTTAAATTCAGAATAAAATTCTGATTTCTTACTTTACGACTCTCCTCAATCTGGCCTTATCTCTTGCTTTTTTGTGGCCCTGTTCACCCCCCTATAGCCATATTAGTTTTCTTGCTGTTTCTTGATGTTGCTCTGCTCATTTTGCTTTCCTTTTCCTCTGTCTGGTACTCTTGCCTGCCATATAATAAAAACTCATTTTTAGATTTCTGCTCAAATACTGCTTTCTCAATACTTCTACACAGCCTTATCTGAAATAGAATTTCAGAATTAGAATCTTAGAGTTATTTTTACTATCTTTAGTTTTCTTCAAAACATAATTTCCTGAAATTATTTTGTTTATTTAAAAATTGATTTACTATGTCAATAGAATGTAAACTTTATGAAATCAGGGAACTCTGACTTCTTTACTCTATACCCCCAACCTAGTACATCCTAGTCACTCAGTAAATATTTATTTATTTATGGCGTTGAGGATTGAACCAACCCAGGACCCCTCGCTTGCTTATATCCATGGCCGCAATAAGTTTTTATTGAAAGAATGAATAATAGATACTTGCCATACTGGACAGTATATTCAGAAAGAGTCCATCTCTTCCTGGATTCCTCTATTTGGATGTGAAATTAAGTTTTAAGAGGGACAGAAATCTGTCCTATCCAGGGCTTAGTGCTATATTTTATATGCTATGATTATGACAGTAATCATTTGTACATATGATACCCCACCTAACTTCTTGACACTGGCTCCTCTATACTAGTTTTATTCTGGATAAATCCTCTTAGGAATTATTGACCAGCCTATCTTAGCCTCTGCAACTTCATTTTCTCCCTTGGTCAAACATAGAGTATTCTTAGTAGCAGAAGTGGGGAAATGTGTACTGGGTTGATATACCCTATATCATTTTCATTGATCACATTTGGAGATTATTTCTCTGCTTTGCATGTTCACCCATTAATGCAGTATAATAAAATTATGATACTTTGGATCTAGGAACCTGTTCATCTCATCATTTGGGTAACAGACTGTAAAAGTATCTTTTATTCTTTCTGAGTAGTCTGAGATTAGTAGAACTGCTAAGTTATAATCCTTGATCTAGTTTTTTCTATTTCACAGCATTATTTGGACTCCCCAAACCTAAAGTGATCTCCTGTTTAGAACAAGGAGAAGAGCCATGGGTTCAAGGGTCTTTGGATTTCAAAGACAGTCCCAGAGAGTCACCTAAAGGTAAATACACTATAGGAAGAGGAAATGTGTCTTAATGCAAACTTTTACAAGGACTCACATTTTAAAATTCTGTTCCTCTGGTGGTGGTAGTTGTTGTTAGTGGTATTATGTGTATCACTTAGGATTGAACCCAGGGTTTTGCCCGTGCTGGGCAAGTGTTGTACCACTGAGTTACTTCCCCAGCCATTTTACTTTTTATTTTGAGATGAGGTCATGCTGAGTTGCACAGGCTGACCTCAAATCTGTGATCCTTCCACCTCAGCCTCAGCTGGGATTACATGTTTTTGTTACCACATCTGCCTTCCTCTGTTTTTTTATAATTAATCCTCATTGAATTTTCCTTTGCATTCCTGTGATTTTGTTGTTCTGGGATACATATAGCTGATTCTTATATTTGTCCCAACAGAGTTTAAACTAAGAAAAGACACTGAAAATCATCAGTCTGTATCCCTTTCTGCCTTAGAAATACATACACCAAAAGTCATAGTATCAAAAAAGGCCAAAGCGAATGTGCCTCAGCAAACAGCAGGCAAAGAAAATCATAATGATGTGCACAGAATTGGGAAATGGCACAGAGATTTTCCGGTAAAGAAAAGAAGGAAACTTTCAACATGGAAGCAAGAGTTGCTGAAACTTATGGATCTTCACAAGAAAGACCGTACAGGAGAAAAGCCTTTTAAATGCCAGGAATGTGGGAAAAGCTTCAGAGTTAGCTCTGACCTTATTAAGCACCAAAGAATTCACACTGAAGAGAAGCCATATAAGTGCCCACAGTGTGATAAGAGGTTTAGATGGAGTTCAGATCTTAATAAGCACTTAACAACACACCAAGGAATAAAACCATATAAATGTTCATGGTGTGGGAAAAGCTTCAGTCAAAATACAAATCTTCATACACATCAAAGAACTCACACAGGAGAGAAGCCCTTTACATGTCATGAATGTGGGAAAAAATTCAGTCAGAACTCTCACCTTATTAAACACCGAAGAACCCACACAGGTGAGCAGCCTTATAGCTGTGGTGTATGTAAGAGAAACTTCAGCAGGCGATCAAGCCTTCTTAGGCACCAGAAAATCCACCGATGAAGTAAAACATATCTGCTGTCCTCATTCTGAAGAAATTCAACAAATGGAGTTTACAGTGAAGTTGAAAACATATATAGTCATGAAGCATGAAGATTTTGTTTGTTTGTTTTGTTTTTGGTACCGAGGATCAAACTCAGGACCTAGCATTTGCAAGGCAGGCACAGTGCCACTGAGCTAAATCCCTGGTCCAAAGAGTTTTTCGTCATTGGAAAATTAGGGATATAAATGTGTTATTTCACAAAAGAGAATCAAGGTCATATATTAGGGGTGTGTTAGTTTGACTACTTTCTGTTTTTACTTTTAGCTGACAGGGAGTTCCTCAAGAAAGATGTTCTAAGACAGTGGTGATGAACCTAAGGCACATGTGTTTCAGTGGGCTGTTTGTCATCTTTGAAAGCTCTAAGAAATTTGATATCACTGTTCTAGGAGCATTCTAATAAGGGAAAGGCTGTTTTACGAAAAACAGTTTCAATTTCAAATTGCAGGTGCAGCCAATCAGTCTTCTGTTGTAACAGAAGTAAATGTTGTTTTTGCACTGATCTTCCCACTCTGGAATGTACATGATAGAAATATTTATAGCATAGTCTTCTAAGACAAAAAATAATATGTATCTATGTTTAATTGCAAACTATTGTCTGCAGAGTAGCAGACTTACTAATTTCAGTAGTCTTTGTTGGGCAGAGATGGATTCTAGAACGTTTTCCAACAGCTAAATTGGAGTTTCTGTCTTAATTTTGTCTTTGGACCCTGTTCACACAGTTGGACTTCATTTGAGTTCCTTCTTGAACTTTTTAGCAACTTGAGCTCTTGAATCCTATTAACGTAATTTTTACTGTGATGAAATAATTTATTTCACCTCTAGGTAATCTGCCAAATGAACTAATAATGCACTATTTTGTCTCATTGGTGATGTTTGGGAAATGCAGAACATCTCTAATGGGATCATATAGAAACGGGTTGGAGTTTGTAGCCATGAATATATATTAGATGTGAATAATTTTCTGTAATAAAAGAAACTAGAAGCTGGGCATGGTGGTGCACGCCTGTAATCCCAGCCCTCAGGAGGCTGAGGCAGGAAGATCACTGAGTTCAAGACCGGCCTGGGCTACATAGTGAGTTCTAGGTCAGTCTCAACTACATAGTGAGACCCTGTCTCAAAAAAACAAACAAATAAAAGAAACTAGATTGTTTTTCTTACCTCAAAATGTCAATAGGCTACCGCACCATAAATATTAGCACTTATACAAGGCCCATAAGAAAACTTACAGGTTTTTAGTATTAACTTCCTGTGGGTTTTGTTTACTTTTTAATTTAGTTTTGTTTGTCATTAAGGATGAAAATTATATTTGTATGAAAACTGGAATGTGTGTGCTGCAGGCCGGATTCTGTTGGTTACTTAATGTGGATATTAAGCATCTAATCAGGAAATTGAATTCCTGAAAGAAGAAGTTTGGGAACTGATGGTCATTATTATGAAACGATAGGCAAATCAACATCTGTGTTGTTTTGTCTTAAAATGAAAGCTGATAATTTCTAATTTATTTTTCTGTTCTATCCGGGACAGTATTTATAGCAATCTCAGGTATAAATTTGTTAAGATTGCACATAGTCTATAGCATATAGATATTCTTATAATTCAGCTGTTCGGCTACAACAGTGACTCAGGTATTTTACAGTTGGAGATTTTAAGTATACTAGGAAAGAGGTTAAAGAAATTATTTCTTCCAAGTCATTTATAAATGAAGTTGAGGCTCCAGAGAGTTATATAGACATCCCAAGACCTCATTACTTTAGGATCTGTTAGCTATCACTTAGTTGTATCTGTCAGGTATGAAGGCAGGACTAGTAGGACCAATTTGCTACGTTATGCCTACATAAGCAGCCTGAATAAGATTGGTTTGTATCTAATTCTGGCTTTAAAATATTCCTGTTTCTTAATTGGTTCCTGAAATACTCCATTTTTCCTGAAACTCTTCATTTTCTCTATAAAATGATAATATTTAACTCAGTTTTATTCTGGAAATTTGATGGACTGATGAAAGTAAAGCGCCTAAAACAGGGCTTGGTCCATTATAGAGACACAGTCTATATCTGTTCTTTCCCTTTCCTTTGCTTCCCATTGACTACAATAAAGAAGCAAATGTGTATGTGGCTACTACAGCTCCAGTCCAGACTTGAGTGCTTGTGGTAGAGGTTATGCTGGGTTGATTTGATCCTTGGTTTTGATACTTTGCTGTTTGTCACAAGAACCACCTAAACTAATAGTCCGAAGCTCTCAGCAATTTTATTTGATAAATTATACAAAGTATTATTTTTTTAAAAGCCTAGGATGCTTGTAATTCCAGCACTCGGGAGGCTGAGGCAGGAGGATTGCTATGAGTTTGGGACCTGCCTAAGCTACATAGTGAGTTCCAGGTCAGTTTCAACTATATAGTGAGACCCTGTCTCAAAAAACCAAAAAAAGAAAAAAGAAAAGCCTAGGGTCGGGGATTTAGCTCAGTGATCAGTGATTCTGCTGCCTGCTTCACAAGTGCAAGTTCCCAAGTTTGATCCCTGGTTCCAAAAATAAATAAAGCCTAGGCAGTGCTGGTATATATAGTGGACTCAGCTTCAAACCTTGGGACTCTTTCTCTTCTCCTAGGACATATGTGGATTTCTTCCAGACACTATATTCACTCAGTTAATTTGAAGGTCTAGTGTGTTCCAGCCACTGTACTAGACTGAAGCCACAACAAATAAGAGCAACAAAAACACATTCTTTAACAGAATTTGTATTCTAGTGCACAGGAGAAAGCTAAAAAGAAGAACAGTTTGTTTGTTTGCTTTTCTTGCTATTATCAGTAAGGCTTGGTCATGAGATAGTTTTTGTTAGAGGGTTGTAAGCAGAAGCCTACTTCTGGGCTGAAGGATTTATTCAATGGTGCAAGACTTCAGTGCTTTCCTTTCCTGTATCAATAATGGAAAAATACAGAGTAGCCATAGATGAAGCAATTGGGCATGCTGAGTCCCCACATGAAGGGTAGCTGAACTAGAGTCCCCAGACCTGTAATGTACTTTATGGGAATGAGAACAACATGATTTAACATTATGTTAAATCATGGAAACACTGGTGCTGTGTATTTCTGGCCCATCTTTTTAGTTTAAATGAGGTCAGTTGGATATGGCTTTTTTTTCCTCAGTACTGGGAATTGAACTCCGAGCCTTATACTTGCAAGGCAGGCATGGTGCCATATCTTTTTAGTTTAAATGAGGTCAGTTGGATATGGCTTTTTTTTTCCTCAGTACTGGGAATTGAACTCCGAGCCTTATACTTGCAAGGCAGGCATGGTGCCATTGAGCTAAATCCCTGGCCCTACACTTCTTGAGCTCAAGAAGTTTTTCCTTTTTATTCCAACTGGACTTTAACTCTCCGAAGAGATCTAGCTTCCCCTGAATGCTTGACTGAACCAATTCAGTACCCATGGAAACACTTAGGAGCTCACAAGACTAGGTCCTTTGTCTCCCTGTACCCCAGTATGTCATATGCAGGCATTTTCATCAAGGTTTGGGCTAGGGAGAGGGTAGGTGATGGCCAGTACAGATTCCAAAGACAGTTTGGTAACTGCCTCTGTCATGCCTTCTGTTAGCCATGTCTCAGAAAATATCAAGGCATAGGGCAAAAGCAAATTTGCCTGGACTGGTGAAAAGAGGAAAGTAGCTGCTCTTCCTGAACTAAGTAAGGCAGGAAAACAGGAGTAGGATAGTTGTAGTTCCCAAGTGAGAAAGCCCATTAGCAAAGTCCTGACTTAGCCATTGAGAAGCTACACAGTCCTACAATGTCATATGCATGGAATTTGGAAGAAAAAATTTCTAAAACTTTGTTACAGGGATAAAAAAAGATTAGTTAAAAAAAATCTATGACGTTTGACTTAACAATGAAACGTGAAAGACACAACCCTGGGTTCAGCCTTAATCATAGCGCTCACAAATATATCCTCTATGAGCAACCCAATGATTTCTAGTATAAACCAGAAGGTTGCTTTGTTATAGTTTGTTCAGATAGCAGTCTTACAGTGACTAATGTTATTTCTGAGAACTTTATTGTCCCAGTCTAGACCACCCTTCTCTTATACTGGTCAAAGTGACTGAAAGTCTGGACTATTCCAGACCTAGAATTTTTCTTGCCATGAAAAATTTTGGAAACTCAAGCTGATCTTGAGAAACTCAGGCATCTTTTAACTGGAATGGAAGTGCAAGAGTTTAGAATCAAATCTCAACTAAAACTCCTTGGGTTTCTATCAGCGTTGGAACTAATGAGAACAGTGTTTAACTCCTGAAGAGCTTGAGAGTAGGAATGTCAAATACCCTTTTATATCCAGGTGGACAGTTAGCATAACGAAACATGGGACTCTATGAAAGATTTTCCAAACATTTGTTGAGTCACTCTACTAATAAGTGTTTATTGAGTCCCTGCACTTCCTGATCAATTCTTATTTGTGTAATGAAACAGCCTGTCTCTGTTACTCCTTTTGGGGACTCCAGTGCATAGAGTATATTGCTTGCTGAAGATTTCCAGTGCGAGCCTGTTTCCCTCTTAAAGTGGGAAGTGTTGAGACTTTGCTCATACTCTTTTGCTAGGGGTTTGTTTTTTTTTTTTTTTCTCCCTTAGTAAGAGTCCACAGAAATTGCTATAGTTTGTCCACCAAAGAGCTTTGTGTTAAAGGCTTGCTCCACAGCTTGGTGCCATTAGGAAGTGGTTTAAAAAAAAAACAAGAAAACTTAAAGGTTGAGGCCGTTGAGAGGTTTTGGGGTTGTTGAAGGCATACCCTTGAAGAGGGTAGTAGGAACCCAAATCCTTCCTCTTATTCCCTGGCAATGATGGGAGCAACTTTATCCCACTGTGTGCTCCCACCGTGATGTAGTGCCTAGCCACAGGCATGAAAGTAACAGAGTCAACCAATCATGGACTGGAACCTTTATAAGTTGATCATCTCAGGTATTTGTTTTACTATTAGCCATATAAACCATATTTTTGTCAATTGAAACTTCCACACTTGTGACTTTTTTTTAGAAATAAGGTGCAGTCTTATTCAGAAAGCCACACAATGTCTCATTTAAAGGATGCCTAACAAAATATATTAATTCAGTACTCCAGAATGCTTTTTACAGTTGTTTCCATTTGAGAATCAATAAAAAATATGTAATAATCATAGACACTTTACACAACAATGTGGATAATATGCAGGAAGCATTGTGACTTTTTTTTTCTTTTTTCTTTTTGTATAACACTTATGCAAGAAGCATCCTGAAACCCCCCCCCCCCCCCCCCCCCCCGTAATGTAGTTCAGACTGCCTTGAACTCATTAAGTAGCCCAGAATGGCCTTGAACTCAGTGACCTACTGCCTGAGCTTCCCCAGGGCTGGGATTACAGGCCTGTACCATCACACCTCGTCCTCATCATGACTTTGCAGATATTTCTACACACTAGAGAGGGATCCAAATTCAGAAGTGTACAGTTCAAGGAACCTCCCAGGGAGAGGGCCCCACAGGGATCTTCTTGCCTTTTCTGAAAGTCATGGGAGGTAGACTGGGGTTCTAAACATCAGCAGGAAATGCACACCCACTGCTTACCCAGGCTGTTGGCTGCATCAACTACCAAACCATTTGCTTCTCTTTGTACTTTTAGAAAGTCTCAACTGCATCGCTTATATTGTTAGATCAACTAGTTGAAGTGAGCTTCTGCATTATTTGCCTTAGTGTTTTGTTTTGTTTTTCCCTAGGAAGCTGTTTGGAAGACAGCTACTGTTTTCTCTTGCTTCCACCACTTTATATGGGGCTTTGGCTTCTTGGGAGGGACGAACTTCACTTTGCCTTTGTCTTGCAACCTAATTTGGGGCCCTTGGTGAGGGGATCACCAGAAACTTTCTTTTCTTTCTGCTGACCAGCTTCATATGGTATACTTCAGCGGTGGCCTGGAACCCAGTCCATGAGTTAGAACCTATCTTTCCCTTCTGTGCTAGGGGCCCTTGATTTGATCCTGTGTGTGGTTTTGAGTTGCTTTCTGTTGCTTCTCCTTCTC